TGCTATTCCTGATACTTACAGTGATGTAAAGTCAGCCATTAAGTATGGCAGAGATAAGGTTTCTTTGGACACTGTGATAAATGGTTTAAAAAGCAAAGAACTGGATTTAAAAACTACCAAGGGTAGTAAATCTTTTGGTGAAATCAACTTTGTGAAAGGGAAGCCTAAAAATCAATTTCAAAGCAATTTTCAAAATAAATTTCAGAACAAGGCTTCCTCTAGTAACCAAAACCAGTCTTTACAAAAACCTAAAAAGGGCAAGGGGTGGAATAAGTTTAAAGCCAAAGGCAGAAAGTGTTATAACTGTGGTAAAAATGGTCATTATGCTAATGAGTGTTCTGAGCCTAAAAAGGAAAGAACCAATGAACATGCTAATGTTGTGACTGATAACCTTGGTGATGTGTTTATGGTAGGTGATGTAATGCATGATTATGTGAACTCTGTGATCTCCTCTCTTTGTGATAATGATTGGATTTTTGACTCTGCATGCACCCATCATATGACACCTCATAGACATCTGTTTTCTTCCTATGTGAAACTTGAAAACGGTAATGTGTCTATGGCTGATAGCAGTGAAAGAACTGTAGTTGGAATTGGAACAATCTGCCTAAAATTTGAATCTGGTTTTGAATTAGTTCTTAAAAATGTTAGGCATGTTCCCAAACTGAGCAGTAATTTGTTATCTGTTGCTATTCTTGAAGATAGTGGTCTGCATGGTAATTGGGGAGATGGTTGTCAAAGAATCATGTTGCATGATAAATTTGTTTTCAAAGCTGTTAGAATGCAAAATCTCTATGTGTGTTCTGCTGAACCTATTTTGCATGCCAACACTGTTAATCATGACATGTCTATTCTGTGGCATAAAAGGTTAGGTCATATAAGTGGTAAAGGTCTTGAAATTCTGCATAAGAATAATTATCTGAGTGATGATTGTGTGACCAATTTGCCTATATGTGACTCATGCATCTTTGGAAAACAAACTAAAGTTAAATTTCCTGTTTCCCCATTCCCCAATTCTTCTAAATGTTCAGACATACTTGAATATGTGCATGCTGATGTGTGGGGCCCTGCCCCAATTCCTTCTCATGGTGGTAATAGATACTTTATGTCTATTGTTGATGATTTTTCTAGAAAAGTGTTTGTGTTTTTACTCAAGAATAAATCTGATGTGTGTGAGAGATTTAAAAATTGGAAAATCTTGATTGAAAACCAAACTGGAAAGAAAATCAAAACTTTGAGAACTGATAATGGAACTGAATTCTGCAATGCTGAATTTGATACTCTGTGTTCTGAATCTGGCATTAAGAGACATAAAACTGTTGTGTACACACCCCAACAAAATGGTATTGCAGAAAGAATGAATAGAACTTTGCTTGATAGAGTTAGGTCTATGTTAAATTCTTCTGGCTTGAAAAAACCTTTTTGGGGTGAAGCTGTTCTTACTGCTGCTTATTTGATAAATAGGTCTCCTTCTGTGCCCTTGAATGGGGAATTGCCTGAATCTAAATGGTGTGGTAAACCTGTTGATTTATCAAATTTGAAAGTTTTTGGTTGTACTGTGTTTGTTCATAAAAAACTTGATAAACTTGACCCCAGATCTGTGAAATGTGTTTTCTTAGGATACCCTGAAGGGGTTAAGGGGTATAGATGTTGGTTGTATGGTGATCAGGGTTTTAAAACTGTGATTAGCAGAAATGTTGTGTTTAATGAAAATGAATTTCCATGCTTATCTGCTCCTACTGTTGTTTCACCTGATACCACTTCATCTGAGGTGGAGATTCCACCTGTTAATTCTGTTCAAACTGAAAATGAAAACTCTGATGATGAAGTTGTTAATAATGAGATGCCTGAAAACACTGTTTTTGATCAAAATGCTAATCTTGATGTTCCCTCTGTGAATGATCTTAGTGATTATCAACTTGCTAGGGACAGAGATAGAAGAAACATTGTTAGGCCCCCTCATTTGAATGATTATCAACTTGCTTCTCATGTGTTTCATGTGTTTGATTCTCTAGATGGTAATGAACCTAAGTCCTATAGGGAAGCTTTTAATTCTGATGAGTCTGTTGAATGGTTAAATGCTATGAATGATGAAATGAAGTCTTTACATATTAATCATACTTGGATTCTTGTACCTAAACCTCCTACATGCTCTTTGGTTGACTGTAAGTGGTTGTTTAAGGTTAAACATGAGTCTGACTCTGTTAGATACAAAGCTAGGCTAGTGGCTAAGGGGTTTATCCAAAAGGAAGGTATTGATTATACTGAAATATTTGCTCCTGTTGTGAAATTCACCACTGTTAGAATCATGCTTGCTTTAATTGCTCACTTTGACTGGGAATTAAAACAAATGGATGTAAAAACTGCTTTTTTGCATGGTGAATTAGATGAGCAAATTTATATGTGCCAGCCTGAGGGTTTTGTTGATAAAAAACATCCTGATTATGTGTGCCTTCTAAAGAAATCTTTGTATGGACTGAAACAGTCACCTAGGCAATGGAACAAGAAATTTGATGCATGCATGATGTCTTTAAAATTTAAAAGAAGTTCATATGATCCATGCTTATATTTTAAAGAATCTGCAAAAATTCCTGTGTTCTTGCTTATCTATGTGGATGACATGCTTCTTGCTAGTCCTTGCATTCAAACTGTTAATCATGTGATTAAATGCCTTAGTGATGAGTTTGATATGAAACTACTTGGTGATGCAAAAAGAATTCTTGGCATGGACATAATTAGAGATAGACCTGGCTGCACTTTGTTTCTGAATCAATCCTCCTATATTGAGATAATCCTTGAAAAAATTTCTATGCTGTCTGCCAAACCTGTGTCTGTTCCTCTTGCTTCTCATTTTTTGCTAAGTAAGGATCAGTCTCCCAAGACTGAGCCTGAAATCTCTGAAATGAAAAATGTGCCTTATGCCAATGCCATTGGCTCTGTTATGTACTTGATGGTTAGTACTAGGCCTGACATTGCATATTCTGTGAGTTGCTTGAGTAGATATATGTCTAATCCAGGTTTGCCCCATTGGGAGGCATTAAAATGGCTGCTTAGATATTTGAAAGGTACTGTGAATACTGGTTTGATGTTTTCTAAAGGTAAAACTAAGATTGAACTGTGTGGTTATGTGGATTCAAACTTTGCCAATGATAGGGACAATAGAAAATCCTCTACCTCTTATGTGTTCACCTTGAATGGTGCTTGTGTTAGTTGGAAATCTCAACTCCAAAACATTGTGGCTCTATCTACTACTGAATCTGAATATATAGCTGCCACTGAAGCTATAAAAGAAGCCATCTGGCTTAAAGGGCTGTTGTTTGAAGTTGATATGCTTAATTCCAAAGTGGTAGTATTTTCTGATAGTCAATCTGGCATCCAACTGTGCAAAAACCCTGTTTTTCATGATAGAACTAAACATATTGATGTGAAGTTCCATTTCATTAGGGATGTAGTTGAAAAAGGGGTTATTGATCTTGAGAAAATCCCATCTGAGTTCAATCCTGCTGACATGGGAACAAAATGTCTGCCTTCAGAAAAATTCTGTTCTTGTTTGAGAAACTTGAACATTCTTTCCAAACCTTGACTTGCTTTGTGCTAGTTAGTAGTCTGTGTGACTTATTAATTTATGCTTTCTTTGTGATTGCTTGTTTAATCTTCTTCTGAGTGAATTAGATTGTGCTGCCTATGTGATTGCACTACTGTATTTTATTCTAAATGCATATAAGTTGTATTCTATGTGAACTCAACTTGATATACCTGTATGAACTGTGTGCTCCTACTGGTGTGTCAAAAATCAGCAATGATGACTTCCAAAATTTTTTTTAGAAATTTTCACTAATGATTCACATTTGGTCCAAGGTGGAGAATTGTTGGTTTTTGGCCCAAATGTGATGTGGGCCATAGAGCCCAATTGCCATCATATTTTATACACCACCATATTTTGAGTTAAGCCCAAGTTATTATAAGTGAGCCCAGTCCATTTCTGAGCCAAATCCATCCGTTGGATTTTAGGCTGAATTTGGACCGTTCATTGTCTCACTTAAATATCACTTTCTCTCTCTTCGTTTCTCTCACTCTGAAACCCTAACCCTTTTCCCCTTCTTCTCCGCCGCTCCTGCTTCTGTCTTCTTCCTCCCTTGTACTGCCTTGACTGAGTTATGGCTGGAGGTCAAACAACATGGTACAGTGCTGACTTTGACTTTCCGGTACAGCCTTCACCGGCTCTATTTGACTTCGGTCCCTTTAAATACAGGCATGGAGGCTGGAAGAGGGTAAGACAGAGAAAACCCTAAATTTGACCTAAATCCTTCTGATTTTCTACTTCGTGAGTTCAGAAAATGGGGTTTTGGTGAGTGGGTAAGCTTGAGTGCTTGATCTGTTCTTCCTTCGTGGTTTTCTGGGTAATCTAGGGTTTGAGTGTTGTGTGAGAGAGAGAAGATATGTTCTTCTTGAGGTACTCTGGTGGTGTATATTGGATGTGTGAATCTCTGGTGTGAAATTGGAAGACTGAGCTGAAAATCTCAATCTATTATTCTTTCAATTACTCATACCTTTATTCTTTTATTTCATTATACATTAATATATATATATATATATATATATATATATATATATATATATATATATATTCTCCTTGGCAGTAATCAATACTGCTCAAGGGGAACTTATATATTTGACAGTAGGTTATTTGATGGAGCTGGGCAGTATGATACCCTACAACCTAAGTATAAATATGGCATGTAGCCGTTCTGCGTTTTTCAGCTGATTTTTGTGAGTTGTATCGTCTTCTTCAACCTAGACTCTGATTTGTAATTTGGAATTGAATCTTCGAAGCATTTTCATTTATAGCGCTTCCCAGTTCATTCTTATCTGTATTTCCTTTTTTTTTTTCTTTAAATTATTCAAAAAAAAAAAAAAATTACATAAATCCTATGTAGCACAGACACGTAATCAGTGATACAAGGAAACTGCATATCCCAAAAATATATGTAATCAGTGTAGCAAGTTGCTCTAATCATTTAGCTTTGATTTCATTACAATAAATTATCAATATCATATGACTTGGAATTCACTATCCAATTTAAGAAAATCTTAATATCCATAGATCAAGTACAAACAAGAGATCGAGGAACAACTTTTTATTGTCTGAACCAATACAAATAAACCAAATAACAACAAGAAAATGATTGATAAGTAACAAACAGGAGAACAAAAAAATCACAAAGAAGAAACACACACCCAATAATAATTTAAATAAATAAATAAATTAATTAACGAAACCACATGTTTTCCTAATTTCACCTTGGCTCCCTGTCAAAACCCCAATCTTGCCCATTTTAACCATTGACTTTGCAAAGTCCTTCAAGAAATCCTTTGACCCTTGAGGAGTAGCGTGGCTGGTGACGTAAGCCCTAGTTTCACTGTCCGCAAGAAGAGCTGCGTCAGATGTGAAAAGTCCTCTTCTTTTTGCGACTACACTGTAGTATTCGATGTCGAATGTCTTAAAACTCCCAGGATCCATTTCGACAAGTGTAGTGGTATCTGTCGCACTGCATCTTCTCTTCAAACGAGCAACATAGTTTGAGTCCAATGAAGGGTCACTGTCTCCAACACCAGTGAAGTTGTACAGTCGGTTAGTGAAGCTCGAGCAGTGCGATGTTCCTATGGTGTGTCCTCCTGCATATTTAGGGTTTTTGTTAGTTACAAGAAAATATAGAAAGTGACGAAAATAATTTAGTACATGATTTAAAAAAAAAATTTTTTTGGTAGTACATGATTTTAAAAGTGATAAATTAAATAATTTAATATTACAAAAAAATTACTGAAAAGAGACAAATATTTTAGAACACAGGGAGCACATAATTATTACCGGAGAGAACAACAAGATCCTTTGTATTCAAACCCTTTGAGGCAAAGCTAGCTTTCAATTGAGTGATGTTGAAGAAAGGAGGTGGAAGATTGAACAAAGCTTCTGTGCTGTTTGATACATTTCCATCTCTTCTTCCCAATGGTACTGGCCACGATGCTCCATTCAACTAATTTACAATATATACATACAAATAAATAAGTATAATTATAAATAAACAAGATTTTATTCTTATATATACATATATAATCATCTTCAGTACTTACAAATGAAACTGCATCTCGTGCAACAAGAGCTAATATATCAGCACAAGAAACAACACCGGGGCACTTCTTCTCAACTGCAGATTTCACTCTGTCGATGGATCCATATCCTCTAAGGGATAGATTGGGGAACGAATCTTTCTCAGCTTGATTATTTGTTGTCGAATTCAGTAGAATAGAAGCTTCACAACCCTATCAAAAGTAACTAATTAGCACATCAACATAAAAATACCTAAAGAAACATATATTGATGGATTTCAAAGTTGACATAAATATTAAAGTTTGATCGTGCCTTGAAATAAATTATACACATACATATATATGTAAGAGAGAGAGAGAGAGAGAGAGAGAGAGAGAGAGAGAGAGAGAGAGAGAGAGAGAGAGAGAGAGCATACCCTAACGAAACAATCATGAAAATGCATCCTGAGAATAGGAGCTGCAAGAGTTGGAGCAACGGCCATAATACTAGCGGTCTCCTTTTTCACGATCGCCTCAACAGATGGACAAGTCTTCTTGTAGAAGCCAAGCTTCAACCCTTGAGCATTACATAAGTTGAATAGGCCAACTAAAACAAGAAATACAACAACTTGCTTACTGAAAGCCATATTAGAAGGTTTAAATCTTTGTTGAGTTCTTGTTTTGTTGGTGAGTTAATGAGGATTGTGCATGTATATATATACTAAAACAATCTGGGACGAGGGCGGCTTCAACATAATTAATTAGCTGTATGTTAATAATTTTCAATTTAAGCAAGTGACCATTTATAATTGTCAAGTTGGTGATAATCTTAGTTAGGGTTGACATTGTACGGAGTATAAGGTATTTAATATCTACAAATGTTCTATATTTAATCATTTCTCACCTAATAATGTGACCGTATGAGGGACACCTTTTCGATAACTGATTATATTTATTTTTGGCAGTAATTGTCCTACAAAAACGAGTTTTGAGTTTCACGGAATTAAATTTGGTTTTTTCTAAAAAAAAATCAAATTTTATAGAGTTTACGGAAACCGGATGATCTGAGCTTGAATTTGGAGGGAATATGGTTACATCTTATAATCAATTAAACTTGCTTGGATAAATTCATTATCTAGTCTAGTTATGCTGATAATTTTAATAAAATTGCACAAATCTTTAATTATATTTTGGTTAATTTTATCATGAGAACCAAACAAGGCCTTTAAAGTTCAAAATAATCCAGGAACAAGTAGATCTTTTAAGTTTATTAATGAATAAACAACTTCTAACTATATTATTAATTAATAATAAAAAAACTTGACCTTAATATAAATTGACTTCATGTTACCCTTGAGTTGGTGTGTGCACTATCTCATCATCTGATTGAATGGTATCATTAATTTTTATTATTATTATTTTTTTCTTTTTTCAATAATATTAAAAATGGTTGATATTGCGTGAGAGGTGATGAGATTTTTTTTTAAAAAAAATCGAATTAATTCGTTCAGACGTAATAACGTTACAAAACACACGCTACGTTTCTGGTAAGAGTAGTTATTCATCATTATAGTAGGGCACCTCTCTATAATCCCATGTTCAGACACACTAAAAAGTCATATTAATTAATTTACCATTAATTTTCATGTTCCATTTAATTAATTATTGAGATGTGGTTAGCACAAACCTTAATTTATCAGTATATATTCTTCTTATTAAAATTAAGTATGGTATATACATGATTAGAACTCTTGACCATGATCCGATCGTAGAAATTAATTCGTTAACGTCCTCGTAAAACCAATATTCTTCTTGACCGAAAGGCTTAACTCTAATGAGAAGAAGCTCGAGAATAAAAAAAAAAAAAAAAACGCAAGATGATTTGAAGATTTTACGATCTCTCCAATCTCAAGTAAATGAACTAATCATTAATGAAAATTCTTAAATTTTGATTCATCGTTGGCGCACGAGTTCACTCCCCAAACCAAATTCAATTACTGAAACATATCGAGAAACCTAAACTTAAATGACATCGTCATTTTGCTCATCTATGGGCAACAAGGTCGAGTTCCATTGCAATGTCGCCGCTGCGTCGCGGCCGGAATGGGCAAATTATAATCAAAATGCGAAAAAATAAAAATAATGTCAAATAAGTTTTTAATATTAATATTATTGTAGAATAATATACAAACTATTATTAAAACTCCAATTTTAATTTTAGAACAATTCTTTAAACCTTGATAAGTAAAAATAAGGGTCAAATTGTAAGTTATGAAATTCTCTCTTTACTTTAAGAGAAATAAAAAAACAATTAGGAATAGATTGCAAATTTTGAATACTTTAAAAACTATGCAGTCCACCACCAGGCCTCCACGTGTTCTTTTTTCTTTATTCCTTTTTTTTTTTTTTAATTCAACCCAGCAGATGTTATCCCGATTTGATTACGGATTCTGGAAAAGAGGGCACCGTTATCGTTTCGTTCTGTTCCGGCCTTTCCGACGCCGTTCGGGCGAACCCTATGTTTATATACATGTAAATGCAGTAAATGCGTGTGTCAATTTTTTATTCTATGTATAAGTCAAATTATGTAATAATGATGTAATGTAAGAATAGTCGCAACATTCTTAAAGACCGAGACTAGTCAATGAACTTGGAACAAATACAAATTAAACTAAATATTTTATATGTTTTCTATATATATATATACATATATATTATATATATATATATATATATATATATATATATATATATATATATATATATATATATATATATATATATATATTCAATGCATGGTTAATATAGACTTGTTCTTATTTTCCAAATGATTTCAGTATAATAACTAATATAATACAAAATTTAATTGAGACATTTTCCATAATATTTGGAATACACGATCCAGATTGAGAAGTTTCAACAGCCATATATATGACTTCACAATATTTCTTATTTTATCTTATTCAAACACCATTGGAGGAACAACTTTAATTGTCTGTGAACCGGTACAAAGAAAACAAATAGCAACAGAAAAAAAATACAAGTACAAAAATCACCTGTCAACCAACATATTAAAACAACTAGCTGGTTACCAAAAAACACAAATAACACCCATTAATTAATTAGTTAATTAATTAATTAATGAAACCACAAGTTTTCCTAATTTCACCTTGGCTCCCTGTCAAAACACCAATCTTGCCCATTTTGACCATTGACTTTGCAAAGTCCTTCAAGAAATCCTTTGACCCTTGAGGAGTAGCATGACTGGTGACGTAAGCCCTAGTTTCACTGTCAGCAAGAAGAGCTGCGTCAGATGTGAAAAGTCCTCTTCTTTTAGCAACAAGAGTGTAATACTCGGTATCGAATGTTTTAAAGCTTCCGGGGTCCATTTCAACAAGTGTAGTGGTATCAGTCGCACTGCATCTTGTCTTCAAACGAGCAACATAGTTCGAGTCCAATGAAGGGTCACTGTCTCCGACGCCGGTGAAGTTGTACAGGCGGTTAGTGAAACTCGAGCAGTGTGATGTTCCTATGGTGTGTCCTCCTGCAAATTTAGGGTTTTTAGAACAAAATTTAAAAAAAAAAATAATGTAATTAATTAATAAAATAAGTGATAAATGATTATTACCCGAGAGAACAACAAGATCCTTTGCATTCAAACCCTTTGAGGCAAAGCTAGCTTTCAATTGAGTGATGTTGAAGAAAGGAGGTGGAAGATTGAACAAAGTTTCTGTGCTGTTTGATACATTTCCATCTCTTCTTCCCAATGGTACTGGCCACGATGCTCCATTCAACTAATTCACAATATATACATTCAAATAAATAAGTATAATTTTGTATAAACAAAATTTTATTTTATTTATATAAATAAATAAAATGTATATAATATATGTGTGTGTGTAATCATTTGCAGTACTAACAAGTGAAACTGCATCTCGTGCAACGAGAGCTAATATATCGGCACAAGAAACAACACCGGGGCACTTCTTCTCCACTGCGGATTTCACTCTGTCGATGGATCCATATCCTCTAAGGGATAGATTGGGGAATGAATCTTTCTCAGCTTGACTATTTGTTGTTGAGTTCAGTAGAATAGAAGCGTCACAACCCTGTATGTAATAAGTAACTAATTAGTTCCTCTCAATTGTACTTAACTTCGTCTAGAAGTTACTTAGAATATTGTTTATGCAGTGCTCTAAAATGCCACTCCCAACCATATGATTAAATCAGTTCTCACCCTCCATTAGGAAGGTAGAGGTGTATGAATATGAGTAGGATTCCGATTGTAATTTAAGCAAAAAATGCTTACAAACATATATCCATTAAGTAGTTATGAAGAGAATATAAATATAAGAGAAGAGAGCTTAAGAAAACATACTCTAACGAAACAATCGTGGAAATGCATTCTGAGAAGAGGAGCAGCAAGAGTTGGAGCAACAGACATAATATTTGCAGTTTCTTTTTTCACGATTGCTTCAGCTGATGGACAAGTTTTCTTGTAGAAGCCAAGTTTCAATCCTTGAGCATTACATGTGTTGAATATTCCAACGAAAACAAGAAATACAAGAATTTGCTTACTGAAAGCCATTGAAATTAATTGATATCTTAAACTTATAAATGTTTCTTGGATTCTTGTTTTGTAGGTGTGTAATGAGGATCTTGCATGTGTATATATACTAAAATAATCTGGGACGAGGGTGGCTTCAACATAATCAGTAATGTTAATAGTTGTCAATTTGAGGAAGTGACCAATTATAATTGTCAAGTTGATAATATTCTTAGTTGCGTGACATAGTTCGTGTAATGTATTTAATATTTGCAACCGTTGTACATTTTATCTCTTCTTACTTAATGTGATCGAATGAGGACCACCTTTTAGACAACAAAATATATAAATGTTGATTTTGGTATAGTTTGATTTTTTGCATTAATTTTTCTTCAAAAATGAGTTTTGAGTTTCACAAAAACTTGAGCTTAATATAACTGACCTTCATGTACCCTTGAGTTGGTGTGTGCAATGGAATCTCATCATCTGATTTAATGGAATCTTTAAAAAAAAAAAATTGGGTCAATAATATAAAAACGGTTGATAAAATAAAATAAAAAGACATCGATTTAATTCGTTCAGCGTTACACGCCATGTTTTTGTTCCGAGGGCAGTACTAATTAAAGACTGAAATGTTAATTAATCTACCATTATTTTTCATGTTCCATTTTGATTAGTATTTGAGATGTGATTAACACAAACCATTAACTGTCAACTACTCAGGCTGCGGTCTAAACTATAGCACTATGCTATAACTAATGAATTGTACACCATTAAAAAAATGAATATTCTTCTTATTAAAATTGTGGTAAATTTAGAGGAATCTTCCAGATTATTTGGAATATTCTCAATTTTGTATCAATTTTATCTCATTCGAGCTCCACATTTTGAAGCAATATGATCATAAGATGTACATCTTATGATCATAAACTACATCAAAAATGTGTTTTTTGGCTTGTATATAACTGTGGTGCATCAGAAACTGTATTTTTGCACAAAACGAGTACAAACTAGAGAACACTCCACATAATCTAGATGATTATGTTAAATTTGACACCATGAGGATGGAGGTGTAAGAAAATTCATAGTTGAGGAGATAGATATAATTATCCAAACAAGAGGGGTTTTTTCGTAATGTGATCATAACTCAGGAGGTGGTTGTAATTTACCCTTAAAATTATTCAAATCTTGTCATAGA